ATCGAGTCCCGCATCGGGCTCCCTGCTTGGCAGGGAGCCTGCTTCTCCCTCTGACCCTCCCCCCTCTCATGTGCTCTCTCTCTCTCTCTCTCATTCTCTCTGGCTCAAATAAATAAATAAAATCTTTAAAAAAAAGAAAACTTAAAGGCAGGTGTTGAAAGGATCAAACTGATTCCAAGTGAGTTAACTGCACCAGAACAAACTCCAATTCTCTCCGAATTGCCATTAAAGTTTAAGAATAATGGATTTAATATCAGGATTAGAGCAAGGAAGGGATAGAATAACCACTGATTGTTTTTTCTAGATTTGATCTTTATAGGGCTATAGAGATCTTGGTTGAAAGTTAGATCCAAGATAGCGCTAATAGAAATATAATGCAATCATATATGGAGTTTAAGCTTTCTAGTAGCCACATTAAAAAAGAAAAAGAAACACGTGAAATTAATTTTGATAATATACTTTTAGTCTAATATACCTAAAATACTATTTCAATATCCTTAATATAAAAATTATTTTACCTTTGCACTATGTCTTTGAAATCCAATGTTTATACTTCAAACACATCTCTACTTTATACTTGAAACACATCTCAATTCTGACTGGCCACCTTTCAAGAACTGCCAAATGAAGAGGTATACAGGGCAAGGTCCGAAAGGGTCCTGAGCATGGGAACTTCTGTCCCCATGGAACTGGGGTGCATCACCAACATGGGAAGTTCATCAATCCGATTCCAGAGTTTTTATATAGAGAGCTTAATCTCCAACCACCCTGCCCCTCCCTTTTCCCTTCCCAAAGGTAGGTGAGCAGGGCTGAAAGTTCCATCCCTCTAATCACTTGGGTCTTTCTGGTGACCAACCCCATCCTGAGGGTCTGTAGGCACACCACTCTGAGTCACTTCATTAGCATAAAATCAGGTCTGCTCAAAACGGCTCCTTATGAATAATAAAAGACCCTTATCACTTCTCTAGATAAAGACTGGTCCAATATTTGGGTCCAAATCATTTTATTTTTCCCATAGCTCACAATAACTCCTCTACTTAACCCCAGCTACTATTTATCAGTCAAATAAGATGAAAAAATAAATTCTTAACCTTGATCTATCAAGTCTTACACCTTGATCATCAGTGGGGACCGGCTTGTTCCACTCACTGGCTTTGCCCTTAACTTCATTAAATTATATAGTGGCAATTCAGACCAAACCCTTCCCCTCAGAATATATCACACCTCGCCTCTGTTACTTTCTACTTGTCACACAATATAAGGGATGGAGACGTGCAAACAGATTTCCAAGTACTTTTCCCTCACTGAAATACAAAAAATCTCTGGGGTCTAGTCTCTGCCCACTTGGCACATGTCCTGCCAGACCGCATCAGGGAAGAACTTCCTAAGGTCAGCTATTTAGTGGCATTGACAATATGTTCTGGGGAATGAAAAGTACTCATCCACTCAGGAAAATAATTTAAAATAACTAAAAGAAATTGATTCCTTTCTTGGAAAGAAGCCCACAATCTAACTGCAACCACTTAGAAGAACTCACTATATTTTCAGCATTACAGATGCTCCAGGAAACTCATGCTGTTTGACATCACCCATCTTTTCTCCCTGACCAGGTCCGTCTTCCCTGTATCCAGGCCACAGTCTTTAAGTTCTCAGGGTTCTCTGGACCCATCTTTTGGGTACCTTCCTATCTTGGATCCAGGCACCTACCATGAAGTTTCCCAGGTGATGCATATGAAAACACATTTCCTTTTAAGTAATTCTGTTTCCTGCTGCTTATTCAGAAGACCTGTTCTTCCCCAACTTTCCTGATGCTGTCGGCCTTGTTAATTTATAGTTGTCCCTCCCATTATCACAGTGCTCACCCTTCTAAAGAAACAGGCAATGCTAACTTAGCTGGTAAATCTGCCTTATCATATTCATTAGCTACCTATCTTTAGCTTCACTGATCAAATGTCCACTGTTTTCTGTCCTAGAACAAGTTCTTTTATATCAATACAACTTCATGGACATCTGCCATAATGCAGAAAAGTCCTCCTCCAAGTCATAATATCTGTAATCACACTGTTTTTGCAGAGAGATTTCTTAAATGGCATGGTGCCTTCTCGTAGGACTTAGCTTTCAGGCCGGTAAAGGTCCCATCAAGCACTCATGCTTCCTCTCTCCCACAAGGCAGAAATTGGCACAAGCTGGTTTCACCAGAATCCCTTTCTGCTGACTTGTATCTATATGTAAAGTACATCAGATCACTTTTCTTTACTTCTCAGAGAGCCACGGGGTTGCTAAAATCAATCCCTGGATATTACCTGGTCTCAGATTACTTATTTTGAGGGGACAAGTATTTTTAGTCATTCATTCAGTAAGCTGAGCCGATTGAGTGCCTATTATGTATTAGACAAAGGGAACATAAACTATACACATGGTCCTTAACCATATAAAGTTCATAGTCTCATTATGCACACATATAAACAAGTAACTTTCATACAATCATTAATCCTGGCCCATTTGGCAGCAGCACACCCACCCCCTCCCTTCAAGAGCCCCTTCTTTTCAATTACTGCAGTGGGTGTGGTGCATTTAAATCTCCTTTACCTTCAATGCCCCAAAGATGGGGCTGCAAGTCTCAGAATTTGTCTGCTATACATTATAGCCAAGAGTAGGCATAAATCGGTGAGATTTTATGCCACATTTGATCTAGCTTTGTGTTTAGGATACACATGCAGAGATGGCCAGAAGACTCAAAGTCTTTGATCACTAAGTCACCATCTGACTTACTGTTTCTTGCATCTTCTGGTGGCTGTAAGGAGAGGGCATCATAGAAACACAACACTGCTTTGAATGCTCTGGTCAGGCTAGAATGAATCCAGGCGACATGGACATGCACCTGAGGATCAATCCACATTCTAAGCTGTCTGAAGCCCACAAAATTCTCTTTGAACATCACAGAGAAACAGCAATATCTTTACTTTTAACCAATTAGACCACATTCTTTGGGACTGTAATGAGTAAATTACTCTTTTCATCCCATTCCAGTTGCTTCTGTTCTTTTTCACTAACCCTATCAAATTACTGAATAGGATTTACTTACTACTCAGCCATTTAGATAATAAAAAATACACAGACCAAAGAACAGTATAGATCATTTTGTATTTATTACATGTTTAACTGAATTTTTTCCAATTACAGAATTCAACTCCAAAATAAGGTAATTAATGCCTATTAGGCTGTCATTCTCACTTGCATTTTTCCCTCCTAAAATTTTAACAGAGCAAAACACCTTAAAGACATGTGAATAGGTTCAGTGCACTTTCAGTGGCTCACGACCATGAGACAAAGACCACATTTATCCATAAAAAAGACAAAGAGCTCAGTATTTTATAATATTACTGACATGAAGTAAAAGGAAAAAATGAAATACTGCATTTTCAGCACAACTGTTTTGGTAGAGGCTAGTAGGTTACTGTTTAAAATAATGCCCCTCTACAGAGAACATGCTGTGCTTGGCATGCTTGGCACACTGGCACTTGGTTAACTGCTCAGCTTCCATCTGCAGCATTTTCAGGACCCTTCCTTGGGGCCCACTTTCCCCTGAGCCTGATCTGCCCGCCTCCACAGGGACTACTCTGGCGGGAGCCTGATCCTTCTTCATTCACCTGCTCTTAAAGCTTTGCTGTCTGTCTGCCCTGTATCCGCCGCCCCCCCCCACCCCGATTCACCCTTGCCGCATTCTCACACAGCTGAGCGTCCCCACCATAGCTCTTACTCCAGATGCTGCCCCTTCACGTGATCACCTACCCACAAAAATCATTCTCCCTACTTTATAGTCATAGCTCCAGCAATGCAAAAAAGGTTGGTGATGCCTGATTTAGAATTTAAAACTTTGAATTAATTTAGGCAGAATATATACTGCTCTGAAGTTCTTTACTATTTACTCTTTCCTACTGTTTTTAAAACCATAAAAATATAAACATTGTAAACATTCTACTAATCATTTCTGTGGAACCTCTGTCACCCTACTTTCCATTTAGTGAGTTCAGAAAGAACAAAAGTGGCACTAAGTTCCGTTTGGCAGGCCAAAATGATGCCCCCCGCCCTGACCTACCATTACACGTGGCCCACCCTTAGACAGCTCTGTTGGCCAAGCCACGTCTTTCACGACAACTGGTGCTGCCACTCATGAACAGCCCTGCAGCCAAGCAGCACCGTAGTCCACTGTAATCTCTCCCAGGTGGTTGTCCGTCTGCTTGCTGGGCACCTTGCACCCACTGCTCTGTACTCAACCCAGTTTTGGTGATCACGTAAGCACACAGGAGGACAGAAAAAAATGAAAGCACCTCCTTTGCCATATACTGCATTCCTCTACAAAGTGAGAGGGTACGTCCTATTTCTTTGTCAGAGTAAGAGCAGAATCAGGGGGGCTTTGCTGACAGAGGTAGAAATAAAAAAGAAGCTGATAAGTCTAGCCACCAGTGTCTGCCACACCCCAGAGAGAGCTCATTCCTTTCACTATGACACTGCTGGGAACCTGAAGATGAATCTGATCTTCTACTCAAAAGGAGAAACCTAGGCAGGAAATTCCAGTCACTTACCATTGCTCTTGTAGCAAGGTTTTACTGCATGTTTTTAAAAGCATAAAATTAACAAGGTGTTAACTTTTTAAAAATGAACAACTTCAAAATTAATTTTTAAAAATAGTGCTTTAGTTTTTAGGGAGGAAAACACTAGACATGAAAAACTAATGAAATCTCAGCTCCGGGGAATCCCCCTAGTATCTTCATCAGCTATGATTAGTGAGATAATTTAAACCAGAATTCCACACCTGGGTGATAAACAGTACCAATTAACCAGAGAATTAACTGCAATGACTTAAAACTATATTACCAGAACAGTCTCCATGGTGAAGTGTCAGAAAAAGTGAAATAATGAATATTTTCCACAGCACCATAAGATTTTATAAAATACTACTATTTCAGTTTTTAACTTTAATGTACAATCTCAAGATCGTGGTCCATCATTCATATTAGGCTTAACCTCTTTTACTGATAAGAGTTCTGACAGAGGCCATAAAAGCAAAACTACAACATAAAAATGAGATATTTTGCTGAAGGACCTGTATGGTATACTTAAGCAGTCACTGCTTTGGTTGTATCCACTGAGTCCTAGTGGATTCAAAAGCCAGGAAAGATAAGATGGCTTTGCCATTTATACTCACAAAATTTGGTTTGTCAAAAGGACCTAAATGGACCTAAATGGCAACTAAGATATTCACCATAACTAAGAAGTCCTTTTATACCTGTGTGCTCTTATAGGTTGTGTTTCCACATGACAATATTTTGTAAATGGCTCTGGGTTTTTAAAATAAGAATACAGTGATTCACTTTGAATTTTAAAAATAAATGCAAGTGGGAAAACAAATTTTGTAGCCAAATTATCTACAAGCATGTGTAACCAGTTATCTATAATAAAAACTTTATCACAGATTGAATCCCCCCAACATCCAGCATGCTCATGGATCTCCTGAACTGTTAGTGTGTGCTGTGCCAACTTAGTTCAATACTGATCTAAGCAAAACATACTTGAAAGTAATGACTTGCCTATCAAAAAGCTTACACTGCATTCCAAAGCCAAATATGAATTAGGTTTGGGATTATCAATGCCATGTCTGTCTCCCCTCCATTAATGCAGAGAACTGAGACTTGCGCTTTACTACAAATCAGCTAGCACTAGAGTAAATTTGCTATAAAATTATTTATAACAAAATAAATATTTTCAGTCCCTCTACACTAAGTGACATATAAATCATTAGCAGTTTATAACATTAGTTTAGGTCACTTTTTTGGGGACCCAAATGTACTGTACAATCCTGAGTAAAAGGTTAAGGATACAGTTCCTTGGGGATCTTTCTTGATCAGGATTCATAAAGAAAACACACAGAACCACAGCTTATAATAATCCCCATTTTCACTAGAAGTACCAAGAGTTTTTACTTTGGTAAGTAAGTTTATTTATGTAAACCATTTATTCTGATGGAGTAAAATATAAGCAGAGCTTCTGCTAGGATCCCTCCATCACCTTTTGACACTGATACAGTAAGCAGTCAGGAAGAGTAGAGCAGGAGGATCTGAACCACAGGGCTAATACATCACCATGAACTCGAAAATGCAGCAAGCAGGGGATGGATGGCAGTAGCTGACAGGCCAAAAGCCCTTCATTGCCTACAACAAAGCAAAAATTAAAAATCTTTAAGACAAAAGGACTTAAATAGACATTTCTCCAAAGAAAATATACAAATGGCCAACAGGCCCGTGAAAAGATATTCAACATCACTGATCAGTAAGGAAATGCAAGTTAAATCCACAATGAATTCCTACTCATACATATAAGATATACATATATGTCATACACACACATACACACACACACACACACACTCACGTGTATGTATAACAACAGTTGGTGAGGATGTGGAGAAATTGGAACCTCTGTGCACTGCCGGTGGGAATGTAAATGGTACAGATGCTATGGAAAATTATATGGCAGTTTCTTCAAAAATTCAATATAGAATTGTTATTATAACCAAAAGAACTGAAAGCAGGGACTTGAACACAGATTATTTGTACACTCACACTCAGAGCGGCATTATTCCTAATAGATAAAAGGGGTAAGCAACCCATGTGTCCATCAACAGATGAATGGATAAACAAAATGTGGTATATTCATACAATGAATAGTATTCAGGCTTAAAAAGAAAAGAAATTTTGACACATGCTACATGAATGAACCTTGAAGACATTAGGCTAAGTGAAATAAGCCAGTCACAAAAGGACAAAGATTGCATGATTCCGCTTATATGAGACACCTAAAGTGGTTGAATTCACAGAGACAGAAATAACAATGGTGGTCGCCAGGAGGTAGAGAGGGCGGGGAATGACAAGTTAGTGTTTAAAGGGCACAGAGTTTTAGCTGAAGAGGAGAAAAAAGTTCTCGAAGTGGTGGCAGCCAATGGCTGTACAATTAAGGATGTCCTTAATGTCAATGAACCGTACACTTATAATTGGTTAAAATGGAAACTTCTGTTATGTATGCTTTACCATACAAAAAAATTATTTAACAATGTCTGAACAACACACTCATTTGAAAGGTACTCATAACAGGAAATACAGCTCTAAGAAATCCGATACTCATGAAAGTTGATTTGTGTTCTGTGAGCAAGCCCCTATAAACACAAGATTGCCTTTTCGTAACTCTACGAACCTATAATTTCAACAACATGAAGTCTTAGTTTCTGTTGCAGGGTCTTTAGGGCAGAAGGCAGAGCAGCTTGAGATTCTGACACTTTTACATTTTGCTTCACATCATTTGCGAAGGATAACCAGAGTTTGCCAAAGTTTTCAGTTGAGATTTTTAATGGTCTGAAAATAATTTTTAAAATTAGATTTATGTCCAAAAGAATGAAATTAATTCTAAACAAACAAACAAATACATTTCAAATGACTCATGGGAATAGAACATAATCATTGTAAATCTGGGTCCCGCAACATTCATGTTTTTAAATTAACTATGATTAGAATGCTTACCATCATCCTCCAAACTGATGAAAATACTTCTCAAAAAAGATGTTATTAACGTGTAAATGTCTTTTCAATAAATCACTCAGTTCTCTCTTTGTCCAAGTATTAGTCATTTAGTAAAATTTTACCAAGTAATTTCATGAATCATTCAAAATATAAAACTTTCTTTCATGTCTACTTTGGATTTGGGGATAATAAGACACTATCAACATCATGTATAAGAGTATGAATACAAAGATCTAGCACCTTATGTAAATTAGACCAAGGAAAGGACTTTAACAAATGTATTTTTGAAAATGGTTCATGAGACTGAAGATCAAATAGTGAACACTGGGTCTCTGGGGGTAGAATTATAAGGAACTTTTATATTCTACTTATATTTTCTATAGCATTTGAATTTTTATAATAATTATGCACTTACTTTATAATTAGGGAAATTATTTTTTAAAGATACATAGGATTTTATTAATACACACAGAAGAACTGTTTATTGCATATATTGCGCTTCTTCAGGTCACTAATGCTCACCACGGGATATACCTTTACAGTCTAAGTTTTTAGAAGGCTGGATTCTATAACAGCACCACAGGCAGAAATATATTCTTTGACAGAGTGAGAGACACGTTCTTACTAAAAGATTTTAAAGAGTAGGCAAAAATTACAGCAGTGTAACGCAAATGAATGTGTGAAGGTTAAAAAAATTTTAGAGATATTCACGAGCATTCTGCATTCTTGGTTCAGGCAGCCTTCATTTTAAAAAATGTTTTAATACAGTACAATATATCCATAAAACTAAATGAGAGCAGAAGAGTGAAGACGCTGTCTTCAATTATTCTGGTAACACTGCACAGTGTCTAGTATAATGCTAAATACTGACTATAACTCTAATAAAAGTTCAATAACCTTTAGTAATTTTCTTACAGATCTCTAAAGCTTAATAAACAGATTTTACGAAATAATTAATCAAATAAATGAAATATAAATGAAACTTTAAAAGCTTTTTAAAAAAAAGCCAGGCAGAATCTCTGAAGTTATTTCAGCTTAAACATTACACTTTAATATTACTTTCTCTCAGAGGTTTTCCAAGATTACCAATCAACCCCAACCTAAATCAGGTCCCATATTGTAATTGCTTTGTACCATTTGCTTTCTCTTCACAGCACAATTGGAAATTATACATAAATTCATGTGATTGTTCAATGTCTCTTACCGAGACTGAACATTCCCTAAAGGTAGGGACTGTATCTAGTTTTGAATCATTATACTCCCCAGCACCTAACACAGTGTTTCTGTCCAGAGAAAAGGCCTAATAAATATTTGCTGAATGAATGAATAACTTGAATTAACTTTCCAGAAAATATTTACCTAATGAAATCTAATAGTGATAAGTTTACAGAAAATTCAAGCTGAACAGAATGAGTATCCATCATCTGATAATTTATAAAACCAGAAAGATTCCCTTCTGTAAAAGGTTTCTCCATCTGCACGCTATATTGAAAGGTTTTGATGCTTTCTGCTTCTATTATAGGCAAGCAGCATCCAGGTTGCTCAGTGATCTGTAAATAAAAGTAATAAAAGTACTGAAGAAGGATCAATACAGACTATCATATGAATACCAATTTTCTATTTTATTGAAGTGGTACAAAAACACACTACCGTAAGATATTAAAAACAAACCACATTATGAAAATGACAACTTCACTTGAGAAAAATTCACTAGCACAGATAATGAAGAAAGAGTATACAGGAAAAAGTTATGTAACAAATTGCAGTGAAAATCTCTGTAAAATTTAGCAACAACAATATGAAAATTATTTAACTTGTATCTTTTGGTTCTCAATCCTGGCTAGCACCAGATGTTTAAAGCTAGGAGAGCTGGGGTGCCTCGGTGGCTCAGTTGGTTAAGCGTCTGCCTCCGGCTCAGGTCATGATCCCAGAGTCCTGGGATCAAGCCTGGGATCAAGCCTGGGATCAAGCCTGGAGTCGGGCTCCCTGCTCTGCTCAGCAGGGAGTCTACTTCTCTCTCTCTCCTTCTGCCCCTCCCCCTGCTTGTGCTCTCTCCCTCTCTCTCAGATAAATAAATAAAACCTTAAAAAAATTTATTAAAAAAAATACTACGGGAGTTAAAAAAAAAAGTACACACACACAGACACACACGTGCCTTCCCTTTTCAATCTACACCCTTACTCAAGCTATGGGGGTAGAGCCCAAGCAATAGGACTGGATTTTGTTTTGTTTTTAAAAATTCCTTAATTTTTCATTCCTGGTATCACTACCACAATTTACAGGGCAATATAGCTGATGTAATGAAAAGAAAAAGACAAAGCTACAACAGATAAAAGACCTCAGGAATGTACATCTAATTGACACTACATTGCATTAATCAATAGCTGCACTTTTTGCAAACTGTGGCTATGACAGTCCTGAACAAGAAGGGTTTCCTGTTTAAGCTGCAGTAACTTTTCTGACCCTGGATCATCGTTCCTTCTGTGGCAGATTTTTACAGTTCCTCTAATGCATTTGGGACGACTGTCTCAAAGTAACCTGCAGCTTTCCTGACAACTCCTCACTCTCTCTCCTGCTAAGAACTGTAGCCCTTTTCTTCTGAATTTTTTTTAGAACCTTCTGCTACCATATCCACCACTTCCACCACCAGATCCATAACCACCACCATAGGGACTGCCCGAGCTTCTTCCACCAAAACTGCCCCCCTTCGTGGGTCCATAATTTGATTGCTGTTGTTCACTATAATATCCAAAATCGTTATAGTTCCCACCACCACCAGTTACCACCTCCACAATTTCCTCCTTCGTTGTAACCATCATATGCTGCACCACCACCTCCACACCCGCCTCCTTGGTGTCCACATCCTGGTCCACCACCACCATTGCCTCCTCTACGTCTATAACCAGGACCACCACCGTGGTTGCCACCATCACCTCCAAATCCCTTATATCCACCCTCACCTCCTCTACAACTATCTCTGCTGCCACCACCTCCACCACCAGAGCCGCCTCTTCCACCAAAGTTTCCACCACTTGCAAAGTTTCCTCCACGACCCACGAAGTTGCCAGATCCACCCTCCATGACCTCTTTGTGGTCCAGCCGACTACACTTCTTGTTTAGAAAAGGCCTTTTTCACTTCACAATTATGCCCATTAATAGTGTGGTATTTCTGAACAATTCTATCAACTGTATCGCGATCATCCAGTTACAAAAGCAAATCCTCTCTTTTTTCCACTCTGCCTGTCTTCCATAACTTCTATGGTTTCAGTGTTGCCATACTTTGCAAAGTAGTCTCTCAAATTATATTCTTCTGTATCTTCTTTAATACCAACAAAAATGTTCTTCACTGTGAGATGCGCACCAGGCTTTACGGAATCCTCTCTAGAAACAGCTCTCCTTGGTTCCACTACGCGCCCATCAACCTTGTGTGGTCGGGCGCACATTGCTGCGTCCACCTCTTCAACACAAGAGTAACGCACAAAACCAAAACCCCTGGAAGGTTTTTTTGGGGATCTCTCATCACCACACAATCTGTAAGTGTACCCCAGCTTTCAAAATGTTCTCTTAAACTGTCATCTGTAGTTTCAAAGCTCAAACCACCAAGGAACGGCTTTCTCAACTACTCTGGTTCCTTTGCATCATGGCCCCCGCCTCCTGGCGCCAGTAGCAACGGCCGGAGTCTGGCTGGGGGTGACAGGGCGGCGGTTTTACCTCCATTTTGAGACCGGACTCTATTTTACTTTTTTTTAAGTTCCACTGGTGATCTTAATGCCCATCTAGAGTCAGGAACTTCTGCCCTGGTCAGCGGTTCTGGCAATATCCCACTCAACACATTTTCGCCCATAGAAGAAATTCGGTCAGTCTTGTGGAATAACTGATCTCCTGGTCAAATTTCATTATAACTCCACCAAGGACATCCATATAAGAATGTAATTAAACATATTTCCAGAAATCACAATGGCAATCTCTTAGAGCTAGGGAAGAAATACAATTGATGCCCAAGCACTCCGTATAGAATAATAAATCAATGAAAGAAAAAGGCAGCAGACAGTATACACATTTATCCTTCAATATTCTTACTCCTTGACATTCTGCTTTGTTAAACTGAGAACTTGGTCTCAGTGTTTATAACAAGAATGAATGAGACATTTAAAGAGGGCAAAAAACCATAAAATACACACTGAAAATAAAACACGATAACCTTACCATGTGCCAGGTACTGCTGTAAGCATTTTACAGATATTAACTCATTTTCTCCTCACAGTAACAGGCAGATGCTATTAATATCTTCATTTTAAATGTGAGGAAACTCAAAGTTACATAACCTGACCATGTAACACAGCTAATAAGTAGCAGAAGCAAGATGCAAAGCCAAGCATTCTGAGTCAAGAGCCTACCTTTTTAACTACTGTGCTCTATCAATACTTGCTTTATATTTATGGCCTTCCCCAACACAGCTGGAAAATCTGTTTCCTTGTCTCTTTTGAATAATTCATCCCTCTCAAAATTAAAAAAAAAAAACAAAACTGTCACACCTTTGGGGTTTTTTTTACTAAAGAGAAAAGGATGTGGAAGAAACCATCAGAAGATCGAACAACAGAAACACTAAGTAAGCATTGTCTATTTAAGGCAGAAGTAAGGAACCATTCATTGTCTTACCTTGAAATTTTCTGCTGGAGCAATTTCTAAGTCAGCACTTTCCAATTCCAAACCACTCTTACTAGAAACTGACCAGACCATGAATAAACAATCATCTTTCCAAATTTTGTAAGAAGACAATGATATGGTTTCATTATGACAGACCTCCACAAGATCTGAATGCATGTGTTCAGAAGTTTCTTCCAGCAAAGAAGAAGCTAAAGAGGTTTCATTAGCAACTGAGGGTGCAGTGGACTGAGGAGGCTGAAAACCTTCCATGCTGTTATCAGTAAACAAAGAAGGTGATGAAGACAGCTTGCAATTGGAGAGTTTCTCAACTGAGGGCAGCTCTGTGAGTGACTCAGAATCCAAAAGTTCAGAGTTGAGAGAAAGTTTATTTAATTCTTTGTCTCCTCTATCCTGCAAAGTATCCAAATAATAATCATCTTCATAAGTTGCATTTGACGAAGAACTAAAGTAAGAACAGGTCATATTATGAGCACCAGTTGTTTCTCCACTTTTGGTTTCCTTGACTTTTGATTTCCTTCTGAATTTGTGAGATACGGTATCTGCCTTTCCTAGCTGCAAAAATAAAACATAATGATAATTCAACCAGTCATGAGTTTTAAACCTTTTTCTATAATTTCAAATGAGCATTTTACTAACTTGTTAAAGTCTAACTATAAGGCATAGATTAACAAAAGAATCAGAGATGAATAAAATGTTAAGCCCTAAAATTCTGACAGCTACCTCATTTTGAACTATTAGCTAAATCTTATTTCTCATTAAAAACATAAAATAAAAAAAAGAAAGTCAAAAAGTCATTTGTGAACAATTCTAAAAACTTGTTCAAATTCAGAATGCTAGAGTATAGAACTGAACAAATTAAAAACAGTGATGGGCACCTGGGTGGCTCAGCTGGTTGGGCGTCTGAATCTTGATTTTGGCTCGGGTTATAATCTTGGGGTCATAGAATTGAGCCCCGCATCGGCTCTGTGCTGAGCTCAGAGTCTGCTTGAGACTCTCTCCCACTCTCACTATCCCTTCCCCACTGCTTGTGTGCACTCTCTCTAAAAAAATAAAAATAGGGCGCTTGGGTGTCTCAGTTGATTAATCCTTCAGCTCAGGTCATGATCCCAGATTCCTGGGATCAAGCCCCACACCAGGCTCCCTGCTCAGTGGGGAGCCTGTTTCTCCCACTCCCTTACCTGCCACTCCCCCTGCTTGTACTCTCTCTCTTTTTGTCAAATAAATAAATAAAATTAAAAAAAAAAATAAAAAGCAGTAAAATTTAAAAAATAAAGTAAGATAAAAACAGTGAGAAACCTAGCCATTTTTTGAGTTTCCAGAGTTGTCCTATAGAAGAGAAAATACCTTCAAATACAGGGATGGCTCAAACTCTGGTTTGGTAGTCTATAATAACCATGATTTCATGGCCCACAAGTCAATAAACAGATGGGAAAAACTGATTTTACTTCAAGAACCAACTGGCAGTGGCTGACACACACAGCAGGCAAGAACTCTATCAGTGACCAGTTATGTTTCCTACAGACTCAGGAAACGGGAATGGCAAATTTGCCATCTTTGAACCAACACTCCTGGGGAATGGTCTGCAAATCTGCATAAGCATACAGTGATGGCTCACAGTTCCCCCTTGCCCTCCAAAGTCCTATGTAGAATCAGTGCAGATTGGCACTACTCTAAATCCACGTCTCCATCCTCCTTGGGGCGGTGTGGCTGCCATTCACAGGATTCTAGTTAACCCAAATTCTAGTTTCTCTTCCACACCCTCTCGCACCCTCAAGTCCCAATACCTCTTCCAACTCTGGGCGATGAGTTTGTCTCCTATCTTTCGATTCAGAAGTCATCAAAGAACTAAAATTTTATTAACACAAAAATGAAAACGAGTGGGTGGGTGAAGGACTTCCATTTTCAAGTAGCTGTGGGACTTTGAATTAGGCATATATTAGACTGTTCAGTATTGCTCCTCAGGTCACTGATGCTCTGACTGTTTTCATTTGTTTTTTGTTTTCTCTTTTCTGTGTTTCATTTTGGGTACTTTTGATGCTTTGTCTTCAAGTTTAATAATTTTTTTCTTCTGTACTGTCTAATCTCCTGTTAATCAGAAGCTACACAAGCCATAAGACACTAGAGTGACATCTTTGTTAAAATATTTAAAGAAAAGAAACAGTCAACCTAGGCTTCAGAGAAAATAACTTTTAAAAATGAAGGTAAAAGAGAAAGGAAAACCAAGAAACAGACTCTTAACTATAGGGAACAAACTGAGGGTTACCAGAGGGAAGGGGCATGAGGGGATGGGTTAAATAGATGATGGGGATTAAGGAGGGCACTTGTAGTGATGAGCACCAGGTGTTAAGTATTAAATCACTAAATTCTACACCTGAAACATATTATTATTACACTGTAGGTTAACTTACTAGAATTTAAATAAAAACTTAAAAAAATAAAAATGAAGATAAAGTAGAAGGCAAAGATGGGGGGGAAAGCCTTGATCCTTACAGTGAATTACATTAAAAAAAATTAACCCAAAAAGGATCTAGTATACCTTAAATGGAATTACACTTCTGATATCAAGCCCACCACAAAAAAAAGAAAAAACAAAACAAAAACAAAAACAAAAACAAAAAAAAACACCTGATAATTAATTTGTCACACCGAATGTTCTCTTGAGAAAGACTGTTTAACTGCAAGCTTTGCACTTTGTTGAGAGGACAGGAATCCTTCAACACCAGCCATGGGATTCACAAATCACGGCTCCACAGGCCTGGGTGCACTCTGACCACTGAGAACTTGCCCCACGGTGCCAGGGCATTCACGGGTACCCTTACCACAGCCAGCTGGAACACCTTAAAGACCCAAGATAAGTCACTTTGCTGCTGAAATGCAAATGCTGAAACAGCATTAAGATACATTACTTATTAATACATCTAGACTGAAATTTTTTTTCCTTAGGAGGGAATATCAAGTCTGATAGAAATGGGGTCTAGAAAAGAGAGAGAAAAAGGCAAAGAGTATAGGGATGGAGGGAAAATCCCACCAAGGGAGAAGGAAGAAAGAACTGGAATGATGTAGAACTGACAAAAATGTAGCTCTAATCACAGTCTGTACCAGGAAGGTCCATCAGTCCGCCAAATGGAAAATTACACGGAATTCTCAGATGCTCAAAATAGCACCTGCCCTTCACTCCAATTTTTCATTCTTTTACTATGATAATAATATATCAACATAAAAAGTTTTGAAAATCATCATAATCATAATGCCTGAGTGTAATTTTCATTTTGTGTAATTCCTTTCAGTCTCAATATACTTTTATCTTAACAGTTATAAACAGAGTACAAATAAAACTTTATATTCGGCCTTTTTGCTTAATATATCACATGTATTTTTTTTATTTTACAATGCAGTATTTATCATTTTTAATGGCTGAGTAATATTCTGAGCCAATATAATTTATGGACCCATTCTCCTACTATTAGACATCTAAACTGATTCCTATTCTTTACTATTTAAAATACCATTTGGAGAAGTACTTTTTCCATAGACGTATCAATATTGTTAAACTACTGTTATCGCCAATACTTCCATCAAGCCCCCTTCCCACTGAGAACTGTCCTATCCACCCATGGGAGTAATACCTGTGGTCATATTTGTAACTTTATTTGGACCCTGACCCTTGCCCCAGCTGACTGGACTACAAAAAAACACCTGACTCAAGCTAAGCCAATTAGAATTTCTCTTTCAGGAATATAAAAAGTGTGTCATTGGTGGCTCTGGAGATGGGGAAGCCATTTTTCACCATGTGTATGGAAGCCAAGAACCTTCAAAGAGCCAGTTTTTTTGTACAAGACAGGGACACAGATTCCCAGAGGAATATAATGGACTACTTACCAAATTGATTGTACTTTCTGATCCTAGCCCAACAAATAATGATGATGCCAGCAGCTGCTTTTCTTTCTCCTCTTTAGATTGGATAAGGACTTGACACTGGTCTTTTTTTATTATAGTTTGGTCTACAGTCTCCATTATTATACTCTCCTGAGGAACGGGCGGAGCTTCAGTTTCATCCCCAGTTTTGCCTTCCTTCTTGGGAAGATAACCCTCTTTCCCCCACAGTTTCTTTATACCTTCCAGCTTCAAGCTATTTGTCCTAAAGAGATTAAGAATGAAATCAAGTCAACTTAAATAACTGCTGAAGAGTTACTTTCTTGAGGCATTTTTTAAAAACACATCATTGCCATGGCCTCTTAACAGCTTTCAGGGATGCCTGGGCGACTCAGTCGGTTAGGCGTCCAAGTCTTGATTTCGGCTCAGGTCATGGTCTCAGGGTTGTGAGATCCAGCCCTGCATCAGGCTCTGCACTGGGCATGGAGCCTGCTTGGGATTCTCTCCCTCTGCCTCTGCCCCCAACCCCCTGCTCACACTCTCTCACTCCTCTTTCTCTCAAATACATACATACATACATACATACATACAGTTTTCGTATTAAGCCCTCCCTGGGATTGCCTCAGCTGTAGAGGGACACATCGCCCCCTCCCTGGGCAGCCCACACCCAGTGACTGATGAACAGAAGTACAGAGTCCTGGCCACCCATGTGGACCCAACTCAAGACAACTCTGAAGGGCCACTCTAACTTCCGAGCTCCCCATGGGGTCAGCAGAGACTGCTGTTAGACTGCATTGCATCTTAACTTCTCTCTCTGCCCAAATCTGTTTCTTTCTCCTTCCTTCCACAGGCAGTAGTCACAAGGGCACTCCTTTATATTCTGCATACTAAATCCATCATGGAATGCACTTCCCAGGGAATCCAAACCACAACAACAGGCAAAATAGGAAAGGAGAGGAAAAATACGCCTAAAAGGAGCTTCAAGCTACTTTAAAGATTTTTCTGGCATATTTCATCCTCATACATGCCTACTATTAACATAAATTCTCTCTGTCATGGATTACATATCAGCAGCCTAAAAAGCAGGAAAAATAGGGGCGCCTAGGTGGCTCAGTTGTTAAGCATCTGCCTTCAGCTCAGGTCATGATCCCAGGGTCCTGGGATCGAGCCCCGCATCGGGCTCCCTACTTGGCAGGAAGCCTGCTTCTCCCTCTCTCGCTCCCCCTGCTTGTGTTCCTGCTCTCGCTATCTCTCTCTGTCAAATATATAAATAAAATATTTTTTAAAAAAAAGCAGGAAAAGTAAGAACACAAAATATGCCTCTTTATGATATGAAACGTATTGTAAAAGAATTTTTTTAAACATGAATCATCTTTGCCTGGGTTTTGACAATAATATAATTCGTGATTTTACATGGCATACCTTTGTATTGTTTTTAATCAGATCATTCAAACACAGATGTAAATTCTGTAACTCACTTTAATTCAGCTCTAGGAATTCCCTTTTGAGATAGCCCCCAAATAGGGCCAAAGGTAAAAAAAATTCTAAATTGGGCTTGCTACTAGTTTATTCTCAACTTGCTAGAGACTGCAGAAGAGTGGCTGTCTGCTCTCTAAAACTGATTTGCCTTGTCAATTACCACATAGGTTCCCAATTCTGAAATCATGTGTAAGCTGTGGTCCTCTTTGGAAAGAAATTTTATATTCATCCCTCATGTTGCATTTCATGGTAACACAGCATATGTACTGTTCCTTAGCAGCTCTGCCAAATGTCATTTCTCTCAGAGTAGTACATGTGTATGTATAGGATTTACAAGGATTGTCAAGTCCCCCAGATCTCAGTTCAGTACTAAACAAAGAGATGCTGTCACCTGTTGTGCAGGTAAAAGAGACTAAGTTTCCTCCCTGGGTTTAGAGGGTTCCTGTCCTCTCCTTCCCTTGTCCCACTGTTCTGTTTGGGGCACTTAATTGCTATCACCTCTACATTCAAATGCTCACAAATCATATCTGTTCCCCATACTTGGAATACCAAAATTAAAATGTCTGGGAAAGAAAAGGGTGTCAACAGAGCAGGAAAAAAGGCTAAGAAAGAGAATTTCATTCAGTATATCATCCTATATTCCTTATAATCTATGTGTCAGTCTTCTGGTAAATACTTCTTCCAACCATCGTGCTGGAAGACTGACAAATGCAAAGATCAACATAAAATAAAGTGACTGACTCCATAATGAACATATGAGGACTCAAAATTCAACTGTCATCTTTCAAAGTTGCTACCTTTGAGATTTTATTACATTTATTCCAACAAAGCTGCCACTACTCAAAACATTTTTTAATAGGCACTGAATAATATATGGAACTGTTGAATCACTATATTGTACACCGAAAACTAATGTAACACTGCATGTTAACTACACTGGAATTAAAATAAAAATTTTTTTAAAGTTTTTTTTAACTCTTTTAGAAGCTCCTTCACAAACAAGGAAGCCATTTTCATTACTTTACATCACATCAATAACCAAAATTATCCAGAGTGATCACTAATTTCATTTGGTTAACTCAGCTTTTGGATATTGATAATAATGGCAATGACAATTAGTATTAATAGTAGCAGCTACCATGTATCAATCACTTACTATGCACTGGATTTTATGAGGCCCTTTATATATATTATCTCACTTTTTAACTTAATCACGTTTCTAAAATTAACTTATATTTCCAAAATCAAAATCTACCTAAAAAGACTGAAGATTTCGCTTCATATAAGACATTTAGACAAATGTATCATCAATTTTCACGGTGGCAAGAAAAAAGCTCTGGAAGCATTTTGAGCAAAGTATACAGCTTACTTAAATGAAGTCAGTCATCTTATTTTATGTTCATCTCTGTACTGTCAATCTTCCAATGAAATGGTTGTAGAAGATTATGAGGAATGTAGAATGATATGCTGAATATTCACCTGTATATAAAAATTCTCACATACTTCTTTAAAAAATGTATGTGTATACATGTGTGTGTATATATATATGTACAAATGTATGTATAAATGTGTGTATAACACACATAAAACATACATACATACACATACATACACACAATACACAGTAATAACACACACATCATTATTATGTGTAAAGTCTATACACATTATGCTGTCTTGGAAGTAAGCAAGCTCTCTTACAAGTTCTCTTGTACAACATCAACACCTTGAAAGCAATAAACAGCCCATGCAGAATTCAGCTTTCAGGGATGCTACTACATTTAAAGACATTTAAATACTCCTATGTTCTCGGGGCGCCTGGGTGGCTCAGTTGGTTAAGCGACTGCCTTCGGCTCAGGTCATGATCCTGGAGTCCTGGGATCGAGTCCCGCATCGGGCTCCCTGCTCGGCAGGGAGTCTGCTTCTCCCTCTGACCCTCCTCCCTCTCATGCTCTCTGTCTCTCATTCTCTCTCTCTCAAATAAATAAATAAAATCTTTAAAAAAAAAAAAAAAATTAAAAAAACAAAAAAACAAAAAACAAAAAAATACTCCTATGTTCTCGATTTTAATAAGAAAGGAACTTACTCTTTCAGCCCGGTCTCTGCACTATTCCCAGATATATCTGAACCAAGAGAAATGCCAGCAGGAGACTGTCGTCCAGTGAAGCCAGATGAAGAAAAGGAGAGTCCATATGGTTCAAAATTGAGAACTAGAATTTTAAAACAATAACAGAAGTTCATATTTAAAACAAAGCAAAAGTTAGGAGGGAAAAGCAGGAATTATCAAAGGTACCATTCACTACTGATATAAAATAACTAAAGGTTAGAATCCAATGACAATTTTTAATTTTTTATTTTATTTTTGTAAGTAATCTCTACACCCAACATGGGGCTCAAACCTACAACCCCGAGATGAAGAGTCGCATGCTCCACCAACTGAGCTGGCCAGACACCCCTCCAATGACAATTTTTAAGCTGGAAGGGACTCTGGAGATGATCTAATCAAATAATTACAGTAATAGTAATAAAGTAGCTATGATTTATTGAATGTCGACTACCGTCTACATGCCATTAGTTGATCAAAGACAAATGATACTTCACTTTTATCTTTTCACTTCCCTTAGAAACTAAAGGAACATCCAATTAGGAAAGATAACTGATAAACCAGGCCACTGAAAAGTTGCTGCTCCCAGACAAAAATGTTTAATGAGCTATGAATGAAGAGACAACCATGTTTTTGCTTAACAAAATGCTCTCAGGCACATTCCTATACTGAATGGACTAATGGAGCCCTCAATGTGAAATTTCCCTTACTGCAAAGAATAAGGTTTACTCAGGTTCAGATTCCTTTGAATCTGTATACCCAAATGAATTCAATCAAGAGCCATAAAAATTCATATTGTTATTGTGGTAGAGCAGATGCCAATATCCATTCTCCTCTTTTAAGTAACAGAACTCTTGCTTCTTAGCTAGGTACATGGCCACCCAGAAAAGAAATGACATTTCCAGACTCCTCTGCCATGTGCTTGAGTTCTGGCCAATGAAATTATGTACACATTCTGTGCACAACTTCTGGGAGGAATCTTCCTGGAAGAAAAAACATCTTTCTTCTCTCCCTTCCTCCTTTACATTCATGAAGCCATCATCAATCCTAGGTTGCCTATTTCTGGAATTTCTTTAATGGGAAAGAGGAGTAATTTTCTGCCTTGTATAAGGACACATTTTATTTATTTGTTTTCTAATATGCTATGTAGCTATACCTAATCCTAACTGGCATATTTTTATCTTTTTGGACTATCTGGATTTTAATACAAAGGACCTTCTTAAATCATAAAAAGTGCCTTATAAAATATAAATGTGAACTTCTCTAATAATTATCTTCATTTTACAAAAGAGAAACTGTGGCAGTTTACCATGAACTTACCAAAGATTACAAAAATAGGAAAAATGATAGAGCCAGATAAGAAAGCAGATACCCTGGTTCTAGAGCTTCACTCTCAAGTATTCTATTATACTGTCTCCTCCAAAGGAAACAGCACCTAATCCAAAGAGAATTAAATAAATTAGTTTAGGATAGAATAAATAAATTCTATACCTAAAAGAATGATATAGATGAGAAATCAATGTGCAGTAGAAAAAAAACTAATAGGCTAATTAATAACCAGGAGAACTGAGTTCTTGATATACATCAGGTATTAACTGGGTACATGAACTAGACCTTAACTTCTCTATCTATAAAGTGAAGGGTTCAGGCTAAATCAGCAGTTTCCAAATGCTGATCTGATAACCAGGATCAAGATGACTTTGTAGAATTTCCCACATACGGCCAAGCTTTCAGAGATTCAGAAACAAAAGATACAGGAGTAGGGCTCAAAAATTTGTATCATTTTTTAAAACTTCTGTGATTCTGATTCATAATCATGTTTGGAAATCACTTCTTTAAAGACAATTATCATATGATTTCACTCATATGTGGAATATAAGGAATAGTGCAGAGGACCACAGGGGAAGGGAGGGAAAACTGAATGGGAAATCAGAGAGGGAGACAAACCATGAGAGATGTGGACTCCAGGAACCAAACTGAGGGTTATAGAACGGAGGGGAGGTGGGGTGGTGGTTATTAAGGAGGGCACGTATGGTGATGAGCACTGGGTGTTACATGCAACTAATGAATCGCTGAACACTACATCAAATACTAATGATGTACTACATGTTGGCTAACTGAACATAATAAAAAAAAAAAAGAAATCACTTCTCTAAATCCTTCCAAGGTCCTTTTCAATAGAAAATCCTCCCATTTTAAGCTTTTCAATCATGTAGTTTAACTTTCTGTCCCATTTTGACCTCTTTTTAATAGCATCTGTGACAGTTATCAAGCCTCTGTGTTAATGAAGTAGCAGTGAAGAGCTCAAGAAATGTTTCCTATGCACAAGTAAAAAAAGAGAGTTTAAGCCAAAGATCAAGTAAAGATAGAGTTTAAGCAAAGAGCAGAAAGAATTCAAAATCAAAAGCAGAGTTTAAGAGTGGAGAGAAAAAAAAACTAGACATAGAAGGGGACAGCATCTGGAGACAGATACAATTCCAAACCTGAGACAACAGAATTAAGCACTGTCATCTAAGGAAGGCCTGGAAAGGCTCGAGGCTGAGAATGAACTTCAAACCACATTATTTTCATTCTTCAGTGAAAATTTCCCAAGATCTTTACAGAGGTGAATGACTGGAAGGGCCAAAGATTTTTTTAAAAGTTAACTAGACATGTAAGAGTTCATGTGTGTGTAGGGAGCAGGAGGAAAATAACAGTATGCAGAAAGAGTCAGGAGAAGGAAGTAGATGGCTGAACTGCAACTTATACTTTTTCAGTGTCATTTTAAGATCAACCAGTTAATTGTACTCATATGCTTACCACAGAGCCTGGAAAGTACTCAACAAAATCATTAGATGATAAATGGGGAGAAAAAGAGCTTTCAGCATTGAACTTCTCAGTATTACCATTCTGAACTCCTACAAAGGGAATACGCAGTGGTCTCTCTTTATTCATATGCATACTTCCCATCCATCATCCAAACATCTCGGTGATTTCCTCTTTACCAAAATCATGACAGGCATCTTTCCCTGACAGGCTACACTTCTGAAATGTAAAGTTATTCTTTCTTTTCTTAGCTGTTTCTAACTTCACTGATCAGATATTTTGTTGGAGGAAGCATTCTAACAGTTTATATAAGACTGCTCAGAATGAAAATGAAACTCACAAGTCCATGGTGACCAGATATTTTTTTCAAACTTTTCTATAGATATGCTCATGTGAATAACTATCAGCCCTCTGTCTAGCACAGCGACCCAACATGGTAATTCCACCTTCGAGTTCTTTCAAAATTCCAGAATGGCTATCTTAGGCGCTTATGTATATGGAGCCTATGACTTTGGGAAATATCTCTGGGCTAACTTCTTTTTTCTGGGTATCCAAAGACCTAACCAGGGTAAACAAGTCACAAGCAGATTTAAAGAGAGATGATAAAAGTAAACATCCTCAGCTATTTATATTACATGACTATAATGTCAATTGCATTAAAAAAATGATGTCCCTACAATTTAGCTTGTTACAGACCCATGAAAAATTACCTTTTTCCTGAGAAAGCTTTTCCTCCTGCCGTTGGTGGTGAGGTTTGTAAGGTGCTGCCCCCTGACTAAGTTCTTCGGCCACAAAACCATCCAGAAAAGATAAAGAAGCATCTACCTGTATTAAAGTGAAGCAAAAATTAGAAATTAAAAAAATTTACCCTAAACAGTAAACTGTATACTCACATAACTAATTTTAATCCATATGTCCCAAAAATAATTTTTAAGGGTAAAACTGAACTTCAATTCTAAAAGTGCTACCAAGTGCTACCAAACTCTCTACCTTTCTAAAACATCTATATTCACAGTTAGCTAAGAATGTAACAAAGTAAGTCATCTGTAGTTGTGATCAATTTCACTGCACTGCAGAATAAACTGAGCATCCAATATGTTAGAGAATCATATGTTAGGTGCTATGACTGACACAAAGACAGTTCCCACCCTCATGAGAATTGTAACCTAGTCTACGGCCATACCACCCTGAACATGCCCGATCTCATCTGATCTCGGAAGCTAAGCAGGGTCGGGCCTGGTTAGTACTTGGATGGGAGAATTGTAACTTACTAGAGAAGAGACACCTACACCAGGAGCTACAGGGTCTGCATTAGTTTGCTGCTGGGGGCTAATAATAAAGTGTTGGCAAGGCTAGTTCCTTCTGGAGACTCCAAGGGAGAGTAAGTTCCTTAGCTCTTTCAGTTTCTGAAGGTGCCACCATTCCTTGGCTTGTGGCCACATCATTCCAATCTCTGCTTCTATTGTTAGTTGGCTTTCTCCTCTCTGACTCTTTCCTCACTTTTATAAGAACTCTTGTGATCATGCTTTCTGGACAATCCAAGATAATCTCATCACAAAATCCTTAACTTAATCACATCTACAAAGTCCTTGTTACCATTTAAGGTTCCAGGGATGAAGGTGTGTACACCGTGGGGAGGCCATTATTCCGACTCCCAGAGTGCCTTTGATTTAACCATCCTGTTCTCTTCTACCTGAAAATGCTTTTTCACAAATCTATGGAAAATTACCTAATTTCAGCAGGAATAGAAAGGTACGAGAGAATGATTAAGTGAAAAGAAATGAGATGAAGAAAGAGTAAGGGGAAAAGGAGAAAAGAAAAAGTGAGCAAAGAGTGAGATCTATACAAAAGGATATGGCAGCCGTAGCTTCAGAAGCCACAGGTTTGCTTCTCCTGCTTTAGCCAAGTGTACGGTAACAACTCAGATAATTAGAAGGGCAGGTGAATCTCTAACAGTTAAGCGGCAAGTCACACTCTGAATCTGGAAAGGTTTAGTTTCAATAAGATTCTTACACAATGAAGCTATGTCATCATCACTATCTTCTACTGGAGGAAAGAGGAAACAGGTTACTTCCTAGTTTAATACTGTGTGTAGCGTATATATTCACCATTTCAATGAATGGCTCTGGAATGCCTACCAAACATGAAAAAGGCCTCTGCCCTTGAGGAGCTATCTGAAAGAACCAATGAACAAAGGTTCAAAATGAATACAAGCCATGAAAATCTGAGTCAAAATTAGTGGAAATGCTACCCCTCCTCTCCTCTTTCTCAACTATAGGACACCTGACAAATAAAAATTTGTACAAATCTGGCTTCCTTTTGGCAACTTCCTAATTTATGCCAGTCTAGGGGAGAGACCAGTATACACTCAGAGGGTGAGTAGTAACTGAGCCCATTAGGTTAAAAAGGGTGGCAGCTGAAAGTGAGGTGGGAGAAGGAAAGGTAGGTGATCAGGTTCCAAAGTGGGAAAGAACTCAGATACTAGGTGGACAAAATGCAACAGAGAACTATTTTTTACATTCTCATAGAAAACACAGTAATAATTAAACAACATATTAGAAAAATTCAAAGGAAACTAAAAACGTTTAATTCTTGAATTACCGTATGTTAAAAGCGATTGTCACTGGATATAAATGCCTTCATTGCAGTTCTCCAGAAGATATACTCCTCTAGTCCCAACTATTCAGGATCACTACTCACCTGAAGCTCTCAAATTCTCTGTCATACTAATGTGAGAAAAACTCCAACCTTCATTTTCAGTGTTACGGAAACTGTATTTTGATATACTCCAGATACCTCACAAATGCAAGAATTATTCTGTTTACAGACAATGCAATTTTTACGAAGCTAAAATACAGATGCCTTACCACCATGTCTTCACAGCTCTTATCAACTGGAAGCAAGCTCTTCATAAGTTCCACATTCTCACGTAAGTGTTTTAATTCAAATGCATGCTGTCTCATACAAGTATCCAAAGATATGGTGAATTCCTGGATTAATCTCTCGACTATGTTAGAAGAGTGTGCTTGGGATGTCAACTTGGTAACAGCAGCGATTAACCAGGCTTTTGTTTCTGAAGAAACCGAGGCATTCATAAGTAACTTGTAGAGCTTGGTTAGGATTTCCTCTGGTGTGTCCTTATCTAAGAGGTAGTAATACTCCCCTAACACCTATGAGTAAAACAAAGAGATGTTTATATAGAAATATAAAGTTACAGAGCAAATTGTACTCAGAGATCCAAACAAAGTAGCTACTGCTGGAGTCAATTTACTCTAGATTAAACATACTCTCATGGCGAATTATTAGATAAGGATAAAATTACACATTTTAGATTCAAAATTACGTAAGAATTGGAAGTCAATATAAAAAGGTTTCCACATCTTTATCATTAACAATATATAAAGCAGCATACCTTTACAAGTTCACTTTCTTCTGATTTTCAGGTTTGGTTATTGCTTTTTACACGCATGTCCACATTCTGTTACTTATTTTGCAATAAGCACTTAAACCAGGGGTCCTCACATGCTAATATGCATGAGAGTCACCTGAGGTATTTCATAAAAATACAGATTTCTAGGTTCTACCCCCAGATATTCTGAGTTAGTATGTCTGTGGTGGGGATCTACAATACACATTTTGAACCAGCATCAGCTGATTCTGATATAGATGATCCACAGAAGAAACTCTGAGGAACACTGATCTATGTTACATATCTTTTTTCTTACATCTAACTTATTTAGGTGATTATTTATAATCACCTAAATAAATAATCCTACTGGCCTAAGAATCATAAACTGATAATTCATAGAGTGTGAGATCTTTCCTAAGTGCTACTTATGGAGTATTTTCATGTCTTTGGTGTAACACTGGCATCAGCAGGAAAAAAAAAAACAACAGGCAGGTGAGGTGACAGGGAAGGAAAAATTTATAGCTAGTAACAAGAACAGGAGGAAAAATAAATAGAACTAAATAAGTTCAATCTTTAAAGTAGCAAGATAATTTTTTGCGTGGTAATCTAAATCTAAAAGCCAGTAATCTAAATCCCAGTTCAAAAATTAATGGGAAGATGGAGTAGATGCATTTTCCCCTATTCTTCCCAATAAGTACACCTAAAAACCCTTGATGTTATATATAAAGCATACATAAAAAGACACCAGCAGGGCGCATGGGTGGCTCAGTCGTTAAGCATCTGCCTTCGGCTCAGGTCATGGTCCCAGGGTCCTGGGATCCAGCCCCGCATCGGGCTCCCTGCTCCGTGGGAAGCCTGTTCTCCCTCTCCCACTCCCCCTGCATGTGTTCCTTTTCTCACTGTGTCTCTCTCTGTCAAAAAAATAAATAAATAAAATAAAAAAAAAAAAAAGACACCGATACGTGGAGAAAAGAAGGCTGACTGCTAAGGACGCTGGGATAGTACAGTGGGTTATCTGCTACCTCATAAACCCCAGACTGGGTTCTGGTAGGCCAGCAACCTGGAAACACCAATGGGCGCAGACAAACTGGCCTCAAGAAAAGCCTGCCCTCTAGCCAAAGAGCCAAGAGGCCAGAAAACTTTCAGACAATAACCCTTCTACTCCAGTCAAGCACTACACAGAAAAAAACCATAGACCCACCCACACAGCAAAGGCAGAGAGCCAAGACTTCCACCCCTACAAAGCTGTAAGAGGCACCCCCTTTCCCTCACAAGGGTGGTGACAGAGAAGACCAGGCGGGGAGCCAAGACTTTCATCCCCACCAAGCTGTAGAGAGGACCACTCCTCCACAGTGTCCATGAAGACCACATATGAAGCCACCTCACCTCTACCCAGGTACAAAGAGGGACCCCTCCCCACCTCCGCTAGGGTGGTGTCAACAGAAGCCTAGTGGAGGGTCAGGACTTTCACCACTGCTCAGCCATAGCAAGATGACCCCTTCACAGTGTCAGTGGAGGCCACATAGTTAGAGATCTCAACACCTGTGTCACAAGACCATCACCGAGAGAATCTAATCAACATTTATTGAACACACCATCCAACAACAGCAGAATACCCATTCTTTTCAAGCACCCACAGAACATACAGTAAGACGTAACTTGGGCCATAAAACAAACCTCAACAAACTTAACAGAACTGAATTCATCGAGTATTTTCTCTGACAACAATGGCATCAAACTAGAAATCAGTAACAGGAAATTTTCCAAACACTTAAAAATTAAACAACACTCTTCTATATAATTTTTCCAGAACATGGAAGAGGAAAGAGCATTCCTGACTTCAGACCAAAACCAAACCAACAGAGTAGAAAAAAATCTCATGAACAGAGATGTAAAAATTCTTAACAAGGTCTCAAGAAATCTACCAAAAAAAAAAAAAAAAAAAAAATCCTAGATTAGTGAGTTCAGCAAGGTTGCAAAGATTGCAAAGCAAGATTGCAAAGACAAGATCAAAATACAAAAATCTATTGTACTTGAATAAACTAGCAACAAACATGTGGGAACCAAAATTAAAAATACAACTTATTTACTACTGCTCTAAATAAAATGAAATGCTTAAGCATAAATCTAACAAAACTTGTACAGAATCTGTACGTTATAGAAAGAAATAAAAGCACTATAAATATACAGAGTGCCATGGAGAAAAAAAAGAAATGGCTGCCAATACAATAACCCATTTAGGCAAGGATTACCAGTACTAAAACCATTGGTGAAAGGCAGTTGAGGAAAAGATGTTCATGCAGAGCCACACAGAATCACCTTACAGATTAGCTATAAATGTCCAAGAGAAAGAGCACCTTTATAATGGAGAGATCTAAAATTCATCATCTTAACCAAACAATGAAACTTAAAATCACCAGTGACTATAGGAATTGATACTATATGCGTCCTGATGCCACAGTGGAAAGTATATATTGTTGATGTAGTATTCTTACTAAAAATGTTTAACCAGGGGCACCTGGGTGGCTCAGTCGTTAAGCGTCTGCCTTCGGCTCAGGTCATGATCCCAGGGTCCTGGGATCGA